TCCTTGATTTCGAGCGACTAGGTCGCGAGCGATTGCAAATCATGCCTGGTGAGTCATTGGATTGCAGCGATGCGGCGTCGTATATTCGTTTCATACTTGGATTCACCTGCTGATTTTTTTGGGAAATTACTGAGCTGCAGGTGCAGCTGAGCTTTGTGGCTTTCTTGATTCCAAGAAAATTAGGTACTAAAAGTTTCAATATACAATTACTGGTGTTTCATTTGCGCTGAGGAATTTAGTTTATTTGTGATTGAATAACCTAATTGTTTTTTAACCATTCAAATGTGTGAGTTAGTTCCATATTATTAATCATGGCTATATGTAAGAACTACATTGGGGTAGCTTGAGTTGCTATAAAATGAATCTATATCTCCCATTTTACTACTCACAACAAGGTGGATTATTCGTTTACTGTTTTTTTTTAAATGGTGGGTTGGGGTTTAAAATTGAGTTTTGATTAATCTTATGTTACAAGTGCATATGTGCATGTTAGATTTGCTACAGAATGCGTGCTTGCTTGGTCTATTCGTGAAGTGATGATCTGGAGTGACGGGTTGAAAAGTTGAGAAAAACAATTTAATTTACTGCCAAGCGTGCAAGTGAAATAATGGTAAAGCAGAATTTCATATGATTTTGCATGTCAGGTGAAATTCAGAATGTAATTGATGCGTGACTTTTGCTTGCAACTATGCCATAGACAATGCAGCTCTTGTAATCACACTATGTTTTCCTAAAGAAATTATGTGGCACCTGTATGGTCATGATAACAAAGCTTTTACTTGTTTCAGAAGGGGATTGATTACGCGAAATGTCAAGGAGGCAGTAGATCTCTATCATCAACGCTTTGAGGTAAGTTAAAACACATTTAGTATAGTGCATCAAGGTTCTTGAGTGTATGTAACATGAAGATTATTTCTGCCATAGCTCCACAATCTTCTTTGAATGCTCGGATCAATCACATTTTAGTGTGCAATGCCTGAAATGGGCGTTTAAAGAGTGAATTGCTATAGCAGAATTTGTCAGGTTAAACATCTTCAATCTGTGTGGGTCTACAAACAAAATGCATTGTCTAGTCCATACAAAGTCCATCAGGACTGTAGATCAGGGAATGGGAGCTTCACGGCATAAACCTTTCCCGCGTCCAATTTGACTGTTTCTTCAAAACCACGTTTTCACTCTCCCTCCCTCCCTCCCTCCACAAAAGTCCCTCAGGATTGTTTATGTGCTTCCTGAATCCTTAATTTACGTATAGATCATACTTATTTTTTTTATCAATCCATATATATCATTCTTGGATTCTTCTCTCACTTGAGCCTGGACACCTCACATGCTTGCTCAAAGGTTTGCCTCTTATTGTCACGAATAACTGATACCTCCCTTGGCTCAATTCTTACCATTTTGTTTCAAAGAGCAAAAGGTTTGTAATTTTGCTTAGGCTTACGCAGGAAAAGAAAGCTTCTGCTGAAAAGAACCCTTTTTTCTTCAGTCCTTCCTCCCACTTTTAGTGTATAGCCACCAAAAAGTTCTGTTACATTTTTCAGAAAAAAATTATAAAAGGACCTTTTTCTAATTTTAAGCAAACAGCAAAACCAATACACCTCTTCAGATGTGACCCAGTTTTACATGTGCTTGTGTCCGCATTGTCTGCCCTTTGCACTGGGAACCTTTTTAATTGTTCTACCAGAAATATTATGTTTTAATCTTCCATGCTATGTGTTTTTGCTGCAGATTGTGTTTTCTCCAGCATTAAGCAGGGAGTTTCGTCCTTATAAGCCAGATCCTGCTCCTCTGCTGCATATCTGTTCAACTTGGGATGTCCAGCCCAATGAGGTCATGATGGTTGGTGACAGCCTCAAAGATGATGTGAGTGATATTCTTCTTAAGTTTTTTTTTTGATACATTGTGCTGTCTTTGATGCTTATATCAAAAGGATGGAAGTTTGCTTCTACGACTGAAGGGTTGATGTGATACAATTATTCTTAGTTGCGTCGATTGCTTCTACGACTGAAGGGTTGATGTGATACAATTATTCTTAGTTGTGTCGATTGATTGTGTGACCACTGCTTAAGCAATGGGTGATTGATTTTATGGCTTGTACAGGTGGCCTGCGGAAAGCGCGCCGGAGCCTTCACATGCTTGCTTGATGAAAAAGGGAGGTACGGTTCTGCTGATTTTACCGAGTTGGATCTAGAACCAGACTTCAAGGTCGCTTCCCTAGCCGAAGTTCATTCACTATTGGAGACAAATTTTGATTTGATGCCTTGATTTTCAATGTCCTGATGAAGACTTTCTACACTTCATTGGAGAAACATTTTGTATTATTGTCATGTGAGCGAGGACTTAAAGAGGGAACGAAGTTAAAAATCCCCTTCATGATGTTAAATGGTCAAGAATCAAAGGCCATGTCACTAAATAAAGAAAAGGTGGCCAATTCATAAATATAACTAGCCATTGAACTTTTTTTTATCAAAAAAAATATTAGGTATGTTAGTTGTTTTAATGTGTTTTTTTTACATAAAAAAATTCAAAGGATAATTTGAATAGCTTAGGCAAACAAGATTAAGATATTCTACAATATAAAATGATATGCATTTAATTATATTTATTGAATTTATTTATCTAAATAAATAAAAGATAAATTTATACCCGAAAAATCTATAAATTAAAAGATAAATATAATTGAAATTGGTTAATTAAATTTATGCCATAAAAAATACATTAGTAATATAATTTAAAAATAAATGTTTTTTTATTTTTATAAAGTCTTTATTTGTGTTAAAAAAAAATATGAAAGAGGCATTGATATATCTTAATTTCTAGGTTTTTCTTTTTTGTTGTTCCTTTTGTAGTGAGAATATGAAGAAAATTAACCTATTGGGGGTTGAAATTATGCCTTATGACTTGTGAAAATAAGGAAGATGACGAAGGCTAGAAAGAGAATGTAACTAGTGCGGTGAAGTTGTAACTGATACGTCTTTTTACTCTGCCAAGACAACTGGATAAATGTCAAAGATATAAACAATAATTTTAGCTATGTTATTTAACCATGACAACACATAGCATTGAGTTTGGAATGCTCTTCTGCTTTCTAGGATCAATGTTTATACCCACTATCTTGATATAGCTGATGCAGAATGATTCAGTGACAGATTGCGAAGAAGCTGTATGCGAGCCAGGGAGTGCTCCGCCACACATTTCAATCGTCCCCCTGGAAAAGCCTATCAGATTCTGCTGCCCAGGACAAACTGTGTCTACAAACTTATGCAGGGTTTGGTGGCTTGTGGGCTACAGGATTGAAAATATCAGAGCGCAGTAGTGTGTCCAGTGGAGTTTTTTGTTAATGTTTAAGGGAGAATACAACGTGAAGATAGAGGTCATGCAAAAAGAGATTTACAGTGTGAGGATTCTTGGTAAGATTCCCGGGCTCCTTCTACTCGGTGCTTCAGGGACTGGTGACTTGAATGGATGAACTGTTGATGGAAGGGATGACTAGTTGATGACTTTTGGGACAAATTGAACTGAGTATGGTTGTTTGAAGATTAAGAGGTAGGTGCTTGATGTACAGAAAAAAAGTTAACACCAACACAAAAAAAAAAGAAAAAGAACAATTGATTGCTAATTTAAAAAATTAGAATACTTATCTGAAAATAGTTTAAATATCATTAACTCAATTATAAAAATCATGAAAGTTTAAATACTTATTATTATCTTAAAAAATCTCCAGGACTTGGATTCCACACACACGCACACGTATATATACCTTCACCGTTAATAGTTGCCAATCCCGCCTCACCGGTAACTCTTTTACAGTGAAATCCATCAACAAAAGGCTAGACTTGTGGTAATCGATTTTTTCCAAAACAAAGATATTTTCGAGCTAGCAATCAACCACACGGGTATTCTAAAATAAAGTGAGGCCATATGCCTTTTTTCTCAACTAATGAAAGCTATCTATATCACTGCCAAATAAACGGGGCAATTCACCAGGACATTAAGCCCAAAAACATCTTAACGGACAGCAGATTCAGGGTGAAGCTTGCGGATTTTGGATTCGCTAAGGTTGTTAGGAAGAGAAAGACTGTGAATGGGGTGTGGGGTCACCGTAATATAGAGCGCCTGAGGTTTTGTTGGGGAATGAATATGATGAGAAAGTGGATGCGTGGAGTGCTGGGGTGGTGATGTGTATTATGTTGGCGAGGTCTCCTCCGTTTAATGGGAAAACGATTGAAAGAGATTTCCAACGCCATTTTGATAAAGGATTTGAGGATTCCTGATGAAGTTTTCTAATCGGTTTCAACATCAGTTATAGATCTTTTGAAGAGGATGTTTTGTAGGGGTCCTGCCAGGAGGTTGTCTGATGAAGGAGTATCAAGTGATCTGCTCTTGTTTCTAATACTTCGAGTTAATCACAGGACATCCATGGTTTTTATTTCTCTAGTAAGATATATTTGACGAGGGTGAAATTGTAGTAGAGGTTGATGTTTCGTGGCTCTTGCATGAGGACTAATAGTTATACTTCATAACATGTCTGGTTCTGGGGTAGAGGAGATTCTTCAAGGCCAGAGATTTTTATAGAGCACCACTGCATATTGCTCTGAGTATCGTGGTGACTGCAGCTGCTTGCTTGCTCGACAAGGATGATGAAGCTGTTTGGTTAACATGTTGGTAATTATGGTGAAACTGATGTTTTTGCATTTTAAACTATTTCAAAAATACTTTTGCCTATTTTAATATATTTATGAATAAAACACAACATCTACCTTTTTTCTAATAAGCCTGGAGTACATCTTCTTCGATGTCACCGTCTTGACCCTTAAAATTCTGCCTAATTTGGACTCGTCATCCTCCTATCTCCTTGTAATTGATGGAGAGAGAAGGGCCCACCAAATCCCCGTTAATAAAAAAACAGCAGAACAAATCAAGCCATCATCAGGCATAAGCTGCCTAGAATCACGCATTCGTACAAGATTCAAAACCCTTTCCTGCCTAGAATCACGCATTCTTACAATATTCAAAACCCTTTCCTGCACTCTTCTAGATTTCTCTCTTCCCTTGAAAGCTTCATCATCTTTCTTCTTTCAGCAACCTTAAACTGGGTTTTTCGCTTGTGTTGCACCTCTTGTTTCCAACTCACAAACTGAGTCATTATAAACTGCATGGACATTAATCTTAGTAACTTCTTAACCTCTTAGTAATCAAGAATTATGTTTCCTTTATCAATTGCCAGTCAAAGTCCAGTTACCAAGTTGTCTCCAGATAACCCAAAAATAAAAATATTCTCTTCTAACAAGTTATCTCTCTTGAAACCAGTTCCATGCTCTTTTCACAAGAAGAACCCCAACACCATTAACAACCCTTCAAAGCCCAAGTCTTATCCTTTTAGCTCTATTTTAATAGCCCCAGATCAAGTTTCTCCTAAGAAAGGTAAGGTAAGCAGGGGATACGAGGAAAAGAGAGGTTTTGGCCATTTGGGTAGCCAACAGATGCTGGCTTTGTGTGGGTTAGGGTATTGGATGCAGGGTTTTAGGTGCTTTCCTTGGCTTGCTCTCAACTTCCATATGGCTCACAATCTCAACTTGCATTCATCAACGTTGCAGCTTTTGCAAAACTCTGGTAACTTTCCCATGGTGGCTAAGCCTCTTTATGGAATCCTCTCTGATGCTCTTTACACTGGAGGTGCCCGTAGAATACCTTATATTCTAGTGGGAGGTTGGTTGTCTTATATCTCCTCTGCTTTGTCTAGTTTATGTTTTTCAGTGTTCGTTGCTTCTGTTTAAGTTGCTCTTAATCAATCATTTTGACAGACAGTTTTTTGAATTTTTATGTTTTAAGCTTATTGTTGGAACTTGAATATGTTTTCTAAATTACGCTAGATTAAGTTTTATTGGGCTTTGATTCTGGCATTCAGACCTTTGCTTGAATTGCCTCCCTTTCTTTTCCCTACGTAGTTATGCCGCAATATTCTTTTTATCAATTTCCATGTCCAAGCCTTCTGTGCATGGACAATAAAAAGGTGAGGTACCTTAATTTGTCAGATTAGATTTCATAGTGGCTGACTTTGACGAGATTCTATCTCTTGTTATCAAGTATAGTCTTTAAGAATGCTAGAACTTGAGGGTGTATAGCAAATGGTGATACCCCCCCACCCCTCAGATGTCTATTGGAAGACATTGTGGGGATTTTGTTGAAGGGAAGAAAATAGGTGCAGATCCATCATGAGAGATAAGGGAAATTTGAAAATTCGAAAATTTGAAAACTCAATTCTAAGCCTATTGTTATCATGGGAGTAAGTTTGTCACATCCCAAATAATTTTAATGAATTTATCTGGTGGATTGATCTAGCTTATGAAAGAAGTTGACAGAAGTGAAATTCTCAGTCTTTTTGCAGGTGCTAGCTTGGGGGCTACTAGCATTGATCCCAGTTGCACGGGAAGCCCTTGGAATCCTTATGGCATGCATTCTTATCAGTAATCTTGGCGCTTCTATCACAGAAATAGCAAAGGATGCCCTCGTTGCAGAATACGGCAAAAAAAAGAGACTTGGGGGCCTCCAGTCTTATGCATTTATGGCGTTAGCTGTTGGTGGAATCCTAGGCAACTTGCTAGGTGGTTGTTTCTTACAGAAAACACCACCCAAGACCATGTTCCTTGTATTTTCAGTTCTGCTATCTCTTCAACTGGCATTTTCATCAACAGTGAGAGAGAAATCTCTTGGTTTATCAGAACCATCCGATCACAACCTTGTGAAGAAATCAATTTGGGAGAATATTAGGAAGCAGATAAGTGATCTTAAAACTGCATTAAACGATGACAACATCTCCTGCCCTCTCACTTGGATTGTAGCTTCTATTGCCACGGTCCCGGTTCTCTCAGGTTCCATCTTTTGCTATCAAACTCAGTGTCTACATCTTGATCCTTCAATTATTGGAATGTCACGCGTAGTTGGTCAGTTAATACTTCTTTCCACGACTATAATCTATGACCGCTTTTGGAAAGAAGTGCCTATGAGGAAATTAGTTGGTGCAGTCCAGTTTTTATATGCCTGTTCTCTTCTTCTGGACCTTGTTCTAGCGAGACAGATCAATCTTAAATTGGGAATTCCCAATGAGGTGTTTGCCTGTTGTTTTTCGGGTTTAGCAGAAACACTTGCACAATTTAAGCTCCTTCCTTTTTCAATGCTATTGGCTAGTTTATGTCCACAGGGTTGTGAAGGATCTCTTACCTCTTTCTTGGCATCATCGTTGTGTTTATCATCAATTGTTAGTGGGTTCTTGGGCGTTGGGTTAGCTTCTCTGATTGGAATAACATCTGGTAATTACTCAAGCCTGCCAGTGGGAATTTTGATACAGTTCCTTGCAGCATTATTGCCTTTAGGATGGATTCATCGTTTATCCATGTCCAAACCCATTGTTGAGAAGGAAAGAAGGCGAGGTATGAGTAAAAGAACACGAAAAAATAGAAGGGTTGGAAGAGTGGTGTTCGGCTCTATTTATGTTTACCACCGTGAAAGAGAATCTGATTCTGATTCACAGAGATAAACAAGCTAGAAGGACGATAACATTTTGCTGGACAATGAGTGGTAGGAGATTGGAGCATTAGAATTGTCTTCACACTGCCGAATCGTTGAATCATATGGGAATGTGATGCACTGTTTGCTATCAGTTCTACCGAGCCTATCTCAGCTGCGCTAAGATTGGAATGACCCTTCAATTAGTACAAATCCTCTGGCAAAGATGATCAATTTGTGTTAACTGGATTATTGTTTCACAAATGTGCACACATACATCAGCTCAGCCGCTCCATTCAAGCATTCTTGATCATTGAATTTTGTTATTGGATCCCAAGACTTGCTTCTGATATTTCTTAAAGTGAGTAGTTTAATTTCCAGAGGATCATATCTGCTGCGCATCAAGTTCATCTGGCAACTTGAGGGATGGTGAACAAGGAGGAAGGCATGTGGATGATGCATTCGGCTGAGCCATTTTAATCATGGAAGGCCTATATACCCAATGGTTAACTTTTTGGTAGTAATTCCTCCATGTTTGACTGTGGTACTCTTCTTCCTAAGCTGTAACAGGCCATTTCTTTACCAAAATAAACGCATCAGAGCATCTTTAGGGAGTTCCTCGTTGTATGAACGAGAATTCTGTACATGGTTTACATTACATGAAAGAGAAACTGACAAATTTTCATTCAAACCCTATTATTTGCTTGCTTGTCCCCAATTGTCTTCCATCAATTTTGTGGTGTTTGTATCGTTGCCGATGGATAGATAGCTAGATAACATGCCTTTGGACAAGAATTGACACAAAAAATTGTTCTTGCGGCTTCATGAATGAGAGTACATTATGGCTTCCAGTTGCACTCTACTGTGTCTTGTATTATGTACTTCTGAGTGGAAATAGGCTCAGCTTCTGCCATAATACTAGAGCCATTTTGTCATGGACAATATCCTGCAATTTGTTTTTAACAGGAACTGACCAATATATGAGCCTACCGGTGAGAACATTTCCACATCCACGATGAACAGCTCAAACTTAAGTAGATGGAAGTCTTTCTGCATGTGAAAGAAACTCGAGAGTCAAGATAGGAAGCTACCTGGGTACAAGTCAACCGATTCAACGATCAACTCACTGGTGAGGTAATATGCGTTGAAGTAAGAAAGCATACTTTGATCTCAATCTCCCCGGTTATTAAAGGAGCCAGCTGGTTTGGCAAAACTACCTTAGTTTTTACCTCAAGAAGCCTTGGCACCCCGCCTCCGTAACGGTTGTACAGCTTAAGAAGAGCAATTTCAATTAAATGGTGTAAAACTATGGTTAGGGTTCTGCCTCATGGTGCTATTAATAAATCCTATAGCATGGATGGATGCAGGAGGGTTGAGGGTGCCGAGCAGAGGGGAGGGGACAGTTGAATAGAGAAATGAAATTACGAGAGAAAAGAAAACATGAAAATTCCTATTCCGTGCATAGTTTGTTGACTAATCCTCGTACCAGAACAAGTTTGGCGAAGTGAACATCAAGCATTGATATCAGATGGTTTCACTTGAAGCCGCATTTATAAGAACCTTAGAACCACCAGCAACTCTGCTTTTTATTTCTAGACGTTTGAAAATAATTATTTTTTAAAATATTTTATTAGAAAAAATTTAAAATAATACTTTTTTATTTTTTAAAATTTATTTTCAACATCAACATATCCAAACAATTTAAAAAAATTAATTTCAAGTAAAATTTTATTTAAGTTTTTAATAAAAAACATGTTAAAACACACTCCTAAACACCTTGTCATATCAAGCGTTTTGTGCTCCAAGAACCTTGTTGCTGGATGTTCTGAATCTTTGACTTGCAAAAAAAAAAAAAAATGGAAAAAAAAAAAAA